TGAGTCAGAACTATTATTTTAAAATTCTCCTGAATATGGAGGTCTTACTAAAAATGATTCTAGTTTTGAAAACTACATTCTAAAATCTGTGTTAAGTAGAATTATTTATTTACATGATCCCTAGATAATTTATAATTTATAATTTAAACTGAGTAATTTTTTTCATGCTGACATGTTGATAATGAGCACTGTACTATCCTGCATTTTAGTTTGGGTGGAGGTACAGTAGGAAATATGAGTGGAAGACTAAAGTACCGAGTTTAAAAGCAGTTAATCATTTTTCCAACCCTTGCATTGAAATAGTGAGAGAAAGGTAGTGGAGACCTCAGCAGGCCACTTGTTACTGTTGACTTAAGTACAAACAGTGGTGGAAATGTTTAGCCCTTTGGGAGATTTTGTGATTGAATAAGAATGCTGGAGTTATTTTGATAAGAGTAAGTAGCAATGTGGCCAAAACATATGATCATTCCTGAGCTCTGAAGCAGGCCAAGGATGAATGGCTGAAGTGTTTGTTCTTCCAGATGAATCAAGATAAATCCACCTAGGAAAATAAATTCAATATTTTGGTCAATTTGCAACAAAATGATTAAAAAAAAATTGAACTGTTTATTTTAGAACTTGGCCCAAGGAGGTGTTGGAAAAAAGTTTAGCATCTCCATTTCTGGCTCCATCTTCACTATAGATTTGGAAACAGAGCAGAAAATTAATGCAAAAACATGTTTAACAACGCCATACCAAAAGTTATAAATCCAAAATGGAAATTGAAACTGCATGAGGAAGTATAAAAAGTATTTTTCTCAAGAGTATTTACTAAATTTGAAGCCACAGTTTTCTTAGCATTCTTACCAAGTGTACACAGTAATGTTGAAAATTAAGGTGTGCAGTTTTCTGTCCTGGAAGTATGATGTTCTTCTCAATGTTGGGAGGATTTAATTTATGCATGCTTCAGCTCTAAAAACCTATCCATAAAGAAAGGCATACTGATCACATTATGTTGTCTTTTATTTAATTTGACTTTGTTAAACAACAACAACAAAAGCATTATTTCCCAGAATTTGTGCTTTTAATTAGATGTTGCTACATACATAGCCACCCAAAAATCTGATTTTTTTAAATAGCTTCTCAAGTTCTAGAAATTTCAATTGTAGCAGATTAGGACTACTTATTTTAAAAAAGTGTTTATATGAAACCCTCACAAACTGCAGGTTGTTCTCTTTGTTTGGTAGAATTGGGTCAAGGAGTGACAATGCTGTCTTCAAGTCAGGTTTAACCATAATTTTGTGTCACAGTCAGTCCCAAGGCTCTAATGCTTTGTTGTGCTTGGTGCCAAAGGATTTGTACAGTAAACACTTAATGTCATTCTGTGAAAGTCTTCCCCATTTGGTCTTGACTCCATCTGAGGATTTTGGAAAATTGAATTTTCTTCTGATTGAAAGATGTTGTAAAGCACTGAGGTCAGAGTAAAATCTTGATACAAGAATAAAACATACCCTTTTCTGGATGGTGTCTTTGTGGTAACGAGCACAAGTTTTGTTTGATTTTGTATGAGATTTTATTTTATTTTCTTTCTTTAAGATGTCAGGTTGATGACTTAAGAGATAAGTGACTTCTGGTCTGAAAAACTATTGATAAAAATATTATAATTACTATATTGTTTTCTCTGAAAAATTTTTAATGTATTTTTTAGTTGTAGGTGGACACAATGCCTTTATTTTATTGTGGTGCTGAGGATCAAACCCAGGGCCCTGAACTTGTTAGGCGAGCGCTTCTAACTCTGAGCTACAACCCCAGCCCCGATTTCTCTAAAATTTTAGAATTTTTTTTGTTATGCTATCTTAGCATAGGAAATGGATGTTTTGTTTGAGACATTCAGAGCAACAGTGAACTATTAGAGATTAATAATATAAATACCAAACAGAACTGCATCTGAAGTTGGATGACAAAATGAGAAGTAGGCATATCAAATTGCATAAGAATGTGAGTATCCGTTTTCTTTAGAATTGGTTCTGCTTGGTGCTGATAATTATAGCTGCCAGTTATAAAATGTCTGTTATTTGTAAATATATCATTCACATTCATGTTTGCATTTAATGTTTTTTATTTTTTTAAATTTTAATTTTTTATATATGACATCAGAATACATTACAATTCATATTACATATATAGAGCACAATTTTTCGTATCTCTGGTTATACACAAAGTAGAGTCACATCCTTCGTGTCTTCATACATGTACTTAGGGTAATGATGACCATTGCATTCCACCATCTTTCCTACCCCCTGTGGGAGTGGAGGGGGCTCCCTTCCACTCCCTCCCCCTTTGCCCTTTGCCCTATCTAGAGTTCATTTAATCCTTCCATCCTCACCTCCCCCCCCCCGTAGCATATTATGAATCACCATCCTTAAATCAGAGAAATTATTCAGCATTTAGTTTTTGGGGATTGGATAATTACACTTTGCATTGTATTCTCCAGCTCCATCCATTTACCTACAAATGCCATGATTTTATTCTCTTCTAATTCAGAGTAATATTCCATTGTGTATATATACCACATTTTTTTTTATTCATTCATCTATGGAAGGGCATCTAGAGTTGGTTGCACAATTTACGTATTGTGAATTGTGCTGCTATAAACATTGATGTGGCTGTGTCCCTGTAGTATGCTGTTTTTAGGTCTTTTGGGTATAGACCAAGGAGTGGGATAGCTGGGTCAAATGGTGGTTCCATTCCAAGTTTTCCAAGAACTCTCCATACTGCTTTCCAGATTGGCTGCACCAATTTGCAGTCCCATCAGCAATATATGAATGTGTTTTTTTCCCTTCATCCTTGCCAACACTTATTGTTGTTTGTATTCTTGATAGCTGCCATTCTGACTGGAGTGAGATGAAATCTTAGTTTTGATTTGCATTTCTCTAATTACTAGAGATGTTGAAAATTTGTTGATTGATTATACATCATTTTCTGACAAGTGTCTGTTCAGTTCCTTAGCCCATTTATTGATTGGTTATTTGTATTTTTTGTGTTAAGATTTTTGAATTCTTTATATATTCTAGAAATTAGTGCTCTATCTGACTTGCATGTGGTAAGAATTTGTTCTCAATTAGTAGGTTCTCTATTCACCTCACTGATTCTTTCTTTTGCTGAGAAGAAGCTTTTTAGTTTGAGTCCATCCCATTTATTGATTCTTGATATTAATTCTTGCACTATAGGATTCTTATTATGGAAGTTGAGGCCTAATCCAGCATCATGGAGATCTGGGCCTACTTTTTGTTCTAATAGACGCAGTATCTCTAGTTTAATTCCTAGGTGTTTGATCCTCTTTGAGTTTTGCACATGGTGAGAGATAGGAGTTTAATTTCATTTTATTGCATATGGATTTCCAATTTTCCCAGCACCATTTGTTGAAGAGGCTATCTTTTCTCCAAAGTATGTTTTTGGCACCTTTGTCAAATATATGGTAACTATAATTATGTGGGTTAGTCTCTTTGTCCTCTATTCTGTATCATTGGTCTGCCAGTCTGTTTTGGTGCCAATACCATGCTGTTTTTGTTACTATTGCTCTGTAGATAGTTTAATGTCTGCTATAGTAATGCCACCTGCTTCCCTCTTCCTGCTAAGGATTTCTTTAACTATTCTGGGTCTCTTATTTTTCCACATGAATCTCATGACTGCTTTTTCTATTTCTATATAGAATGTCATTGGGATTATGATTGGGATTGCATTGAATCTGTATAGTGCTTTTTGGTAGTATGACCATTTTGATAATATTAATTCTGCCTATCCAAGAACAAGGGAGGTCTTTCCATCCTCTAAGGTCTTCTTTAGTTTCTTTCTTTAGTGTTCTGTAGCTTTCATTGCAGAGGTCTTTCACCTCTTTTGTTAAGTTGATTCCCAAGTATTTAATTAATGTATTTATTTATGATGCTATTGTAAATGGGGGTAGTTTTCCTTGTTTACAGTTCTTATCTTTAAATCTATTGATCTGATGGATTATATTTATTGATTTCCATATGTTGAGCCAACCTTACATTCCTGGAATGAACACATATATTTTTGATATGTTTTTGTATTCAATTTACCAGAATTTTATTAATAATTTTTGCATCTATATTCATTAAAGATATTGGTCTGAAGTTTTCTCTTTTTTTGCTGTGTCTTTGCCTGGTTTTGGAATCTGGCTGATGTTAGCCTCATAGAATGAATTTGGAAGTCCTCCCTCTTTTTCTATTTCTTGAAATAAATTGAAAAGTATTGATATTAGTTATTCTTTAAAGGTCTTGTAGAACTCAGCTGTGTATCCATCCAGCCCTGGGCTTTTCTTGGTTGGTAGGCTTTTGATGGCTTCTTCTATTTCGTTGCTTGAAATTGATCTGTTTAAATTGTGCATATCATCCTGATTCAGTTTGGTCAAAACATATGACTCTAGAAATTTGTCAATGCCTTTGATATTTTCTATTTTATTGGAGTACAAGTTTTCAAAATAATTTCTCATTATCTTCTGTATTTCTGTAGTGTCTATTGTGATATTTCCTTTTTTATCACGTATGTTAGTAATTTGAGTTTTCTCTCTCCTTCTCTTTATTAGCATGGCTAAGGGTCTGTTGATTTTATTTATTTTTTCAAAGAACCAACTTTTTATTTTGAGATGTAATGTTAAGTCATTTATTTGTTGACTTTTTCTTCTTTTAAGGAATGAACTCTGTGCATTGAACTTTCCTCTTAGAACTGCTTTCATAGTGTCCCAGAGATTTTGATATGTTGTATCTGTGTTCTCATTCACCTCTAATTTTTTTTTAATCTCCTCCTTGATGTCTTCTGTAATCCCTTGTTCATTCAGCAGCATATTATTTCGTCTCCAGCTGTTGGAGTGGACTTTATTTCTTATTTTATTGTTGATTTCTAATTTCATTCCATTATGATCTGACAGAATGCAGAGAATTAATTCTTTTTTATATTTGCTGAGGGTTTCTTTTTGGCATAATATATATGTTCTATTTTAGAGATGGGTCCATGTGCTGCTGAGAAGAAAGTGTATTCACTCATTGAAGGATGAAATATTCTATGTAAGTCAGTTTAGTCTAAGTTATTGATTGTATTATTGAGTTCTACAGTTTCTTTGTTCAGCTTTTGTTTGGAAGATCTATCTAGTGGTGAAAGAGCTGTGTTAAAGTCACCCAAAATTATTGTGTTTTGGTCTGTTTGACTCTTGAACTTGGAAGAGTTTTTTTGATGAATGTAGATGCTTCATTGTTTGGGGAATATATATTTATAATTGTTAAGTCTTGTTGTTATATGGTTCCCTTGAGCAGTATGTAGTGTCCTTCTTTATCTCTTTTGATTAACTTTAGCTTGAAGTCTACTTTATTTGATATGCGGATAGAAACCCCTGCTTGCTTCTGCAGTCCATGTGAGTGGAATGATTTTTCCCAGTCTTTAACTTCAATCTGGGGATGTCTTTTCCTATAAGATTAGTCTCTTGGAGGCAGCATATTGTTGGGTCTTTTTTTTTTTTAATCCAATTTGCTAATCTATGTCTTTTGTGTTTTTTAAATATTTTATTTTTTATAGTTGGACACAATATCTTTATTTTATTTATTCTTTCAATGTGGTGCTAGGGATCGAACCCAGTGCCTCGAATGTGCTAGGCAAATACTCTGCAGCTGAGCTAAAACCCAGCCCCTAGTATATGTCTTTTGACTGGTGAGTTTAGGCCATTAACATTCAGGGTTATTATTGAGACATGATTTGTGTTCCCATCCATTTTTATTTATTTTTGTAGCTCACTTTGATGTTGGGCTTCTTGACGTTGCTGGTGTCCCCAAATGTGTGCCACTTTAACTAAAGTTGGTGGCAGCAATAGCCAAGGTAACTCTTGATAATAGTGGAAGTGCCCCAAGATGGATGGAATGTCTTATAGAGATGGGCCTGAAAGGTGGGCCTTACACTGTCTTTTGAAAGTCTGCTCTCAGATTCAGCTTCTTCCAGCCCTGTCTGTGGTCAAAAGGTAGGGGCTACTGCGTGAGGAAGGTTATGATGATGTCTGCAGTGTCCCAAGATGGAAGTGGGTTAAGTTTGGGTTCCAAGGTGGGGTTAGTCGTGGCAAACCCAAACTTGCCCTGGGCCTGGGGTCCCACATATGCCTGAGTGGGCAGAGCTGGGCTGAGCCTGAGCTCCCGCAATGGTCTGCTGGTCAGAAGAGGGCGTCTGGTGCCAGAGCCTGAGTTCTAGTGGGTGTCTGCCCATGGCAGGATGGACCCTGCATTTAATCTTAACTGTAAGAGATTTTGTGTCATTGTAAAAACCATTTTACAAAGGAGGTGATGGACTCTGAGAAATTAAATTTTTGGCCTAAAATTACACAGCTTGTTTCTGAAGTTCTTAACCTAATAAATTATATTGCCTGCCAAACTAAATTTAATAAAGTATATATAACTAAAATTTAAATACATAAACATGTATGTATTTTAAATAGGCAATAAGCAGGTTATATGTGATTAGTTCTCAGAGTATATGGGTTTGGGCTTCCAAATTTTATTTGAAGTTTCAAGTGAATAGCAAAGTTTGGGATTTCAAAACTTGAAAAACTCTATAGCTAATCCTAAAAGAACAAAACATATCAGTTTGTGATCACTGCCTCTAGCGCCATCTTTTTCTTCATTTGAAACTGAAGTTATTCAACTCCAGTTTAACTTTAAATTAAAAAGGGTTTTCTACCCCACCCTGTGAGCTTCTAAGAGCTGCTGAAAAGACCAAAAAGAAATCAATCAGCCTTCAGTGGCAAGTTTGTAAGCACCCAACTTAGAACCTGATACATATGCAATATTAAGAATATATGTATTGAATTGAAAAAGCTCATGCTTTATTCTTCTATATTTTAATCATTTAAAACATTTCAAAAATCTGTTGTCCAATCTACTAATTTTAGTGTCTCCTCATACTAAAATATGTAATATATGATGAATGTTTTGTTGTTTCTTATACTGTGCTAATGACTTTGTTATGATGGTTCTGGATTCATTCATAAATACTCTGCATAAGAGGTCAATAGATTTTCACTGTAAAGGGTGAAATAGTAAGCATTCTAGGCTTTATGGATCATGTTATCTTTGTAGCAACTTCTGAGCTCTGCTCTAAAGCAACCATGTAAATAAATGAATAGATGTGTCTGTGATCTAATAAAACGTCATTCTCCAAAACAGCTGGATTTTGCCAGTGTCTCTTTAGATGTCCAGTTTGTATATACCAATGTGAAATGTAAAGTAGAAAATGTTAATATTGAACATGAGGTACTAATATTTATGTTTGCTTCTTTTACAGAGGTTTGTATGGTCAGCGAACTAGTAGATAGATCTCAGTGCTTCCATAGACCTTTGTTCTCTCTAAGAAAATAATAGTTGATATGATCCTAACTACTTCTGGATCTTATATATCTTTAGAGAAAACTGGAACATCGTGCCTATATATTGTAACTATAAAAACAAGTACTTTATATGCTTAACATTATTAGCCTTAATATTTATATGATTACCATTAGCATGATATAGAAGAGTTACAAATAATAATGTAAAATTATAAATTTTGTTTGTAGTTATTTTTGTTACAGAATTTTTTGTTTGTTTGTTTTTCTTTACCTCAGGGAGATTCTATTCAGGCAGGTGATGATTCACCATTCTCAGATTCTGTTACCTTGGAACAAACTACTAGTAACATTGGTGGATCGAATGGACGGGTTAGTCTCTGGATGCAGTGGGTACTCCCCAAAATTACAATAAAGCTCTTTGCCCCAGATCCTGAAAACAAAGGCACAGGTATAGGATTGTTTTTCTTCTCTATTAAAAGCATCAATTATGAAGAACTTTTTTTAAGTAGAATTAAATTTTATTATTATCATTTATAATTAAGTAAACATTAGGTATAATTTAAGTGATTTCTATTATTAATTTTACAATTATGTCAATATTTAAGGTTTATGTGCATATATTCTCTTTGACTGTGTAATACCTACATTTTGCTTGTTAATATTAAAATTTATCCTAACTGCCATGAGGCCGTTTTACCATTGGTCATATTGATGCATTATATCATTATTTATATGTATTACAAATATCATTAACTGGTCTCAGATTTAGCACTTCAAATATTAATTGGAATTTCTCCTGTCTTGAGATAGATGTCTTATCTTAATTGTAAGGCCTGTGTTAATATTAATTTTGCATATATATTGAAACTTGGGTAGTCTCAGTGTCTCTGTAGATGTCCAGTTTGCATATACCAATGTTAAATGTAAAGTAGAAAATGTTAATATTGAACATGAGGTACTGGTATTTATGTTTGCTTCTTTTACAGAGGTTTGTATGGTCAGTGAACTAGAAGATCTCAGTGCTTCCATAGACGTGCAGGATGTATATACCAAAGTGAAATGTAAAATAGAGAGTTTCAATATTGATCACTATAGAAGCAGGTAAATGATAATTAATATAGGAAAACTGTATTTTCTTTGAACAAAGTCACTTTAAGAATTTTTCTTAGTTTGACTTGTTATTTTTTAAAATTACTATACATGTTCCCATTAAGGGTTCTTAACAGATAAGCTGATTTTACTTAGTACTCATTCATTTATGTGCTGTAATAAGACTTTGTTTTGTAAGCTAACCCATCTGTTCATAAATATTCTCATAGCCATATTATATGAAATAACCTGATTATACTAAGAATCTCACACAGTTTTATTAAGTGTGTTATATATTTTCTGAGATGCCTGGAATACTTTGATGACTCTGGTTTTTTGCTGTATTCTTTTATTCATTCTGTATATAATCTGCCCTGAGATGGAGCAATTACTCATGTCTGTTTTGAAGACATCTTATATTGCAAACCAATCATATACATGTGGTAGATATTTCTAAAATCATACTGTTCCTTCCCTAATAAATTTTCATGTAAAGTTAGATTATATGCAAATATGATTTCTTTGGAATACTAAATAATGATGACAAAAAAGTTAATTTCTACTTAGTTGCCACAAAGCTGTAAAAACAGTTTTGTCATTAGATTTTCCCAAATATTAATGCAAATCCTTTTTGTATTTCTGGCTTTACAACTCAACTCTAAATTTTTATTTTTTTTAAGAAATAGAATTCATATCACATAAAACTCACAAATGCTTTTCTAAAATATTTTAAATAACATTATATTTTCTGTTAATAGTATTTTCTTTTAGAAAAGTACATTAATAGTATTTTCTTTTAGAAAAGTACATTAAAGTCCATTTATTTCAGAATTCAGAATATGGATTCATTCAACATTTTTTTTATGTTTGCCTGCAGGAACATGTTTTTCTGTACGTGTATTGATCCACTGCATATCCTAATAACAGTCTTTTGTTTAAAGTTTCTAATTCTTCATTGAAAGCATTTGAATTCTTACCTGTTATTATATATATCATTTTGCTTATATCATTATCAAATCTGTCACAACTGAAAAATTGTAAAATATTTCACTGGTTATATATTAGAACCTGTTATAATATTATCCTATTAAATAATATGAAAATTATTTTTATCACATTAACAATAAATCATTAATTGGCTTTTGATGTTTAATTATTTTCTCTTCAGTGATATATATCTATATTAAAATGATCTTCGAAAATTATATTTCAGTGTAATTTTTGAGCAATATAATTTCTTAATGAACAGTTATTATAGTTTATCTGATTTATAGTCATAGTTAAGTGTATATAAATTTTATATATTTAGGTAATTTATTTATTCTTTAAATCCATATGTTTATTGAGTGTGTGTTATGTACCAAGCTCTATGCTAAGGACTGAGGATATTCTACTTGATAGAAATAGACATACATTTCTCCCTTGTGGACCATATGTACTCTTGTGGATGAGATTCGAATTCATAATCAACCAAACAAATGAATAATTTACTGTTAAAGAATAAATACAGAATTATCATGATGTGATGCTAATTTGTAAATGGTTTTATTGAATGCATTGTTATATTCATAGAGTCAACTTAGTGTAGTATTGTTTACTTTTGAACTTTTGAAATAGTTATATGTGCTCAATTTTTTAACTCAGAAAAATTGAAGAGAACAGATAAGGTGAACTTATGTTTTCCAGGCAAGGGGAAGGTTGGCAGTCAGGACATTTTGAAGGAATATTTCTACAATGCAAAGAAAAATCTGTGGTGAGACTCATTTAGTAATTATAATTTTTGAAAACATTTTAAATTGTTTATTTTTGTTTCATGCAATAGGACTAATGGTTACAAGAATTAAAGCTCAGAGTATATTCTTTTTGACATGTTCCTCCAAAATTACCTCATAAATTTAAAACTATTTATTCTTTTAATCTGCTCATGTTTTGTAATCTTCTTCTTTTATAGCAATTTAGTAAATTTATCAAAAACACAAAGGTAGGATTCCTATTAATATTTAACTTAAATGAACTATTACATTGACTTTTAGAAGCTTTTCCCTTCGGAAGTGAGTTCATACTGGATTGACCTTTACTGTAAACTTAAAGAAGTAATTGTGGACTAAAAGCAATTATTTTTTGTTTACTTCCATTAACAATACTTTTGCAGAAGATGGTCCGGACAGAGTCCCTACCTAACTGTGGCTCAAACCTAAACTTATGCAAACTTGAGCAGAATTAAAATCTTTACAGATTTTTTTTTGCTTATGGCTTTTATTGCTTTTTGTCTTTCAACCTACTTTGCTCCTGTCCATCACTTCAAGCCTTGGGGAAGAGTGTTGGTCTTTGGGGCAATGTGGAGGTGTCTTCCTTTCCTGTACTGACAAGCTGAACAGACGCACCTTGTTGGTTCGACCCGTCAGCAAGCAGGACCCTTTCAGTAATTGCTCTGGCTTCTTTCCTTCTGTAAGAAATCATTTTAAAATTTTGATACAGAACTGCCCTTAACAGGAACCCAGAGAAGGAATTGAACTATCCATAAAGTCAACTCTTGATTTTCATTTTTCTCTGTATCATTCACTTTGTTAAATGAACTACAAAGTGTTTTCAAATTATAGATTGGATTTCCACTGTAATCTTTTTCTGAATCAATTATAAATGCTTTTGTCATTCTGGGTTTGTGAAGACAAACTATTTTTACTATCAACCATAAGAAAATCAAAGTCAGATGTTAAATATAATGCTTTCAAATTGTGTACTTATGGAATGATCAAGAGTTGACCAATACTGCTTTGTCATTCCTTTTGTGACTTTGCTGAGATTTCTTTTTTTTTTTATGCCATTGTTTTCTTTTCACTGCTACTTCAAATTACCTAATTTGATGCCCTCTTGAATCTGGAAAAATCTGTGTTCTCATTGACTGAGTAGAAGATGAATGATAGAGTACATACCAGTAACTTTAGGAGTTTAAAACCTTCGTTGTCTACCAGTACAACACATGTGCATATGTTCTCAAACTAATTATTTTAAGTGATATTCTTAAAATGAATAAAATGCATGAAATTTTTAAATATTAGGAGCAGATTTTCAAAACAGTGTATTCTTTTAAGAATTTATTTAATCACTACAAACATTACTAGGTAATTTCTCAGCACATGTGAACTATTTATTTCCTTTTTCCCAAGCTTATTTGAGATTTAAGTCATATATTTTTAACATTATAAAAATATATAAATAATTTTATTTATATACTTAATGTTTAACAGTTTATTTCCATAATAAAACATATTTTCTGGTTGATTTTGAATTTTCTACCAATCCCTATAATACTAGAAAAAGATGCCTCTGAAATCTGGCTTTCACGTCAGTGGAAGTTCTATTTAGATTTATTTTTCTCTTTGAATGTTCATTAGTGTCAATGAGAAAGAGTTTTACTTATTTTAAATGTATTCAGAAAAAAAATTGAAGATTCCTTTTAAAATTGATCATTTTCTCTGAATTTCTAATGATAAAGCCCCCTTTATTAGACTTTCTTTAATTGTCAGTGTTTTCTAACTTTTCATCTTAAATTGTATTAAATATTATTATTGTATGAAAGGTAATACTTCTATTCTTCCAATTTCAGCTATGTATTTTTTCTATTAAGGAGTTAAATGTGCATTATTTTAACAAAGAACCTTTTCCACATCAATCTTAAACTTATTAAGACTGCTTATATTCAATAGGTTTAAAATATTTTTCCAAATCAAAATATTCATGCACTGAAATACCTTTTTATTCAAGATTGTAATATTACTATGGGTAAAGATTTATTGTGAGTTAAATTATTTAGATTAGTAATGACTACTATCCTTCTCCCTAGAATGCAGTTAGACACCTAGAATAAATGTGTTACTATGGCCACTGAGGCTACACTACAGCCCTCATCATCTGTTGTTCCTGCTGGCCAGCAACATGATGACTGATCAAACTACTAGTATTCTTTCTTACTTTACTGTGCTCCTTTTTCATTTTGAGTGTAGAGAGCAAAAGAATGGAAAATCATGGAGTAGAAACAGAAAGTTGGAAACAATGGAAAATGTTCTGAGGGACAGACAGGTTATTTCAGGGGGGAAAAGGATTATATTTCACAATCCCTGAAGGATTAATTTTCAAGTTTGTTTTAATGACCAAATAATTAACTGGAGTACAAAAAGAGAATACATACAAAGATCAATGTTTCCTCACTTAATTGTAAAGTTTAGATTAAAAGCAAAATTTATAGTAATAGCATAACTGCATTCTTTTTTCCTCTCATGATATTATTTGGTTTATAGGTATCAACATGAGAGGAATAGAGTAGAAAAAAGGGAGGTTTAGGAATGATGGGATGACATGGACACAGAAATATCTTGGCTTTGTTGCTTCTCGCTTTTTTCTATTTTTCAAAACATATTCTCTTCCTCCCCTCCCCATTTTAGTTCCTCTCTTAATATCACAAATAAAACAACTTTCTCAGGTGTTTGGAAGTTGTGTGAAATATACTAATTCTCAAGATTTATGTTGCATAATTTGCAAGATAGGAGTCTGTGAACGATTCATTGGTTCAGGAAACAAACAAAAAACTAAGAGGATTCCTGATTTCAGGCCAGTCACTCTGTTAGTCATGGAAGCTTTTACCCCATCTGTAGAATTGATCACTTACATGTTTATGAAGAGCTGTAGGGTCTTACAAAAAAGGCCAAAATACTAAGGTCATTTTCTTCTATCAAACACTTTCCTTTTTTTTTTTTAATGAAGTGTATTGTGGTTTCCTTTTTCTGAAACAGACAACTACAAAACTTCTAGATGGTTCACATCAGCAGCATGGATTTCTCTCTCTGACATACACAAAAGCTGTAACAAAAAATGTTCGCCACAAGTTAACATCAAGAAATGAACGAAGAAGTTTTCATAAGTTATCTGAAGGTTTAATGGATGGTTCCCCTCATTTTCTTCATGAAATTCTTCTTTCAGCCCAAGCCTTTGATGTTGTCCTTTGTTTTCCTTTACTTAATGCCATCACAAGTATATTTCAAGCAAAACTACCAAGGTCCCAAAAAGAGAAAAGAAAATCTCCTGGTCAGCCCATGAGGACCCATACGCTGACTTCACGCAGTTTGCCTTTGATTTATATCAATTCAAGTGTAATCAGAATTTTTGTTCCAAAAACGGAAGAAATGAAGTCAACTATTGAAGGTATTGTGTTCTGATTTTTTTTTGAATTTACATATTTTTATTCTAGAGACATTAGTTTTCTGTGTTTTGTTTCAACATGGGCAGCTGGTTATACTTTACAGTTTGGTGTATTTTAGAAAGAGTAAATATATTATAGTCATTCTATAGCTCTATCTTTTGAAGTTATATCAGAATACTGATTAAGTATCTGCCTCCATTAATTACTAAAGTAAGAAATATGAGATTTTTTTTTTCCTCCAGGGCTGCTATACACTTTCTGGTCATTTGTTATGTGAAATTCAAATCTTGAGTTTTATACATCTAAGTTAACTAAAATTTTGCTTAAAAACAAGATAATTTTTCTAATAATGATGAGATGTATAAAAATTCTTATTTAAATATCTATTTGATTACTGAGAATGGGAAAAATATTAGTCAATGTGTAAGGTCCCTCTGGCTTTGTGAAGCTTCTCAGTGTCATGAAATTACTGCCTTAAACTAAAGTGAATTGATAATCCCACTGTCTCCATCCACAAGAGTATTTTAAAGCATTTAGTTTCCTTTTTGCTATTTTTTAAAAAATGGAGAACTTGAAGGATTTTGAGAATCATTTTAGCACAATGCTTAATGGTATGAACGTTGAAGTTATACAGAATTGAGTTCAAATCTCAACTTTACCAGTTATAATTTTGACGGTCTTGAGCAAAACTATTATCCTCATTAGTAAAATAGTGATAGTAGTATGTAACTTGATAGTAAATTGTATTAATAAGCTTACTTTAAAATGATGAAAACATGAGCCGGTAAGTATAGTACTAATCCCATACTATGTTCTCAATAAATCGGAGTGTTTTCATCAGAAGGTTGTCTTCCTTTTTAAAAAATAGAAATGTAGAAGAATTTCACAACCACATTTACCTCATTGGCCACACTCAAGGTTCAGATAACAATCTTTTTTATACCTTGGTGGCAGTATGATGTCTCTGTTCTTTCTTGAAGCTTTAACAAAACAGACTGGATAATTTATATATAATAGAAATTTACTTTTCATAGTTCTGAATGTGTGGAAGTTTGGAAGTCCGGAAGTCCCAAATCAAAATGCCATCCAATTCAGTGTCTGGTGAGGGCTACTCTATTTCTCCAGAAGGTCCCTTATTGCTGGGTCCTCATGTGGCAGAAATTTAGAGGCAAAATGGGAAAAATACAACAAAGCCCCTTTTTTTGAGGATGGAGCCCTCAAGACCTAATTAGTTCCAAAATTCTCACTACTACTATCCCTGTCCTCGTCTTTCTCTTCCTCCTCCCCCTTCCTCTTCCTCCTCCAAAATAAGTTTATGATATTGGATTTTATAGAAAAAAGAATAATTAAAAGTAACTGAAATACAAAAATAAGAATAAGCACACATACACAAACATCTCAAAATCAAAAGAAATCTACCTATTTCAAAAAGTTTTTAAACTCAAAGAAATATTTTATATACACACTCGGCTTATCCACAGATTTTTATGCCATTATCATAAACTGAGAAAAATTTAAAAATTAAAATGTAATAGAATAAGTTAGATTATAAGGCCCTGTTTCTTAATGCCTTCATCTTTTACATAATTTTTTAATTTACAACATCTGAATTTTGGAGAGACACATACATTTCAAATCATAGTATATATCCAGCTAATGTGAATATGAGAGAGAAGTGAGAATGGATATTTGAGAGATAGGCACTAGTCTATGCCCCATAAAAATAATAGAAGTCATTTTTATTTTTCTCTTGTAGTTATTAGGTGGAGGAGGAAGACTGTGAATGGTCAGTGATTTGATGAACAACAAAGAGAAATCCCTGGCTTCATACTTTTTCTTCTCAGAATCTAATTGTGTCTCTTTTTCTGTCTACCATGGACAGATGATCTTAATTAGTGAAGGTATCCTGACTAATATTATCAATAATTAAAATTTATTAAAAAATGATTCTTTGCAATTACAAATATGTGCAGAAGTTTTTAGTCTTTAATTATCTGAATTCTAAAGTAAAATTCAATATATCACACTTATAAATTCTTAATACATACTAGTTCCTACTTTTTATATCTATTTTTTTCTTAAACTGGTTATTTTGTCTTAAAACTGGTTACTTTGAGATGTGAAATTACTCTTCTCTGAATTTGCTGTATTGTCAAAGTATTACACAGTTACTTTCATATGTTCAGATAGTTAGTAAAAACATATGAATGGCAAAGAATGAAGAGTCTTTATTGTGCAGTTTCAAGTGATGAAAGAGACAACCTGCTAGCCAGGAAAGTAAATATTGCATGTTCATTGCAGAGGTGATGACGTTTGTGCTTTTTCCTTGTGGTTACCTTTTATTATATGAATATATAATGAATATTTAGAGAATGTAGTTTGAAGTTAGAGGTTTAAAAAAAGAAAAATATACATTTTTTTTATACACAATAATTCTTTCAGGACCACAGTTTACAAGTTAGAATAACATTTCCTTGTAACCATAGAAGAGACATGGACATAAAAGTTTGCTGAGGTTATCAAATCATTTTTTGATTTTGCAGCTGAAAATTTGAGCAAAATTAACCATGGAAACAGAAGTAAATATGACTTTAAGTAGAAAATTTATCATTATTTTGATAAAAGATTCTAGGATAGTCCATTAATTAAAAAACTAGAGCATCAGGTTGCAGTATGTGTAGGTATTTTTCATTAAACTAAAATTATAGAAATTTTATATTTAGAGAAAAAAAATTATCTCTATTATAAAAATCCTAAATATAATATTTGCAATGATTGACAGTATTGTTATTATTTAGTACTGGGGATTGAACCCAGGAGTATTTAGCCACTGAGCCACACACCTAGCCTTTTTTATTTTTTATTTAGAGACAGGATCTCCCTAAGTTGCTTAAGGCCTTGCTAATTTGCTGAGGCTGGCTTGGAACCTATGATCCTTGTGCTCAAGCTTCCCAAATCACTGGAGTACAGGCATTTGCCACAATGCCCAGATGAGGTTATTACTTTTTATAAATGTCTCTCTGGTTGATATAAAACATTCATTTTCCTAGTTTGAGTTAGTTCTTACATTTTGTTTACAATCAGATGTTAGTAAGTTTTTAGATCTCTGAAAATTTCTCACAGTTTATATTTTTTGTTCTCCATTCCATAGTTGTATAAATTTCAGGTGAACATAAATAACTGGTAAGCTCAAAATTTTATTCAAACAAGAAAAAAATATATTGGGGTAAGGGTTTGTTATAAGAAAGACAACGAAACACTATCAAAGAAACAGAAAATAGTGAGAGGCATAGAGACAGAAAAGGAAGTAAGGCAACATACTAATTGTATTACTTTTTTTATAAAAATAAAAATGTTCATGATTTACAAGTGATCCTCAATTTTATGATTTGTTTGATTTCTGAATAATAATTTCATGCTAATTGACTCTAAATTGAATCCTTTTTCCCATAGTATGTCTTGCAATGTTTTAATTTATATTTTCTCTCCTTTTTATTCTTTTTTTGTTCTGGGGATTAAATGAAGGGCCTCACACATGCTACGCACATAGTCTGCCACTGTTCTACCCTACCTCCATAGAGTAGTTCTACTCTACCTCCATAGGATTTCTTTCCTAGAAACTCTTTTCACACTACAAATTACCAATATTGTTCACAAACATACGTGTTGAAATATAAACCGAATGCATATGCTTCATTATCCATTTATTTAATTTTAAAACTGGGCCAAGAATACAAAACAGTAAGTTGATTTTTCTGCATGACCCAGCCTGGCTGAGATTTTTAATATATGGTTCCAGTTGTATTTTTACTGGTAAATCTTCCTGAATTAGATATGGCTATTCTTCAATGTGGACATTTCATCTATATCCAAAATTTGCTCAGTTTCTTAAGATATTTTATATAGTTGATGTGATGTATTGAATAATTCTTTAAAATCTTCAGTGTTTTATAGTAGAGGAGACATTTTCACAATAAACTGCTCTTTTGCTTCAGTTAGATCTTCATTGTGGAGCTCATGTAAATGATCTTATTGTGCAAGATACCTACATGACCAACTTGTCAGTATTTGTCACCACTCTGACATGGTCATCTTTAGAAGGAACTTATTTATAATGATTAATGTTACCTCCTTCAGAGGCAGAGTTTACCTGTAAATAACTATAAAAAGTCTTGGCCATTGATTTGTAAACCATTTTTCCCCTCTGTTTTTTTTTTAATGTGTGTGTGTGTTTGTGTGTGTTAAAATATACATAAGATAAAATGTATGTTAACCATTATTAAGTGAATAATTTCATCATATTAATTACATTTACATTTTGGGCAACCATTACCACTATCCATTTCCAAAATGTTTTTACCACCACAAGATGAAGGTCTGTACTCATTAAGCATTAACTTCCTAAGTCCCTGATAACCTCTAATCTATTTTCTGTTTCTGTGGTTTTGCCAAATCGAGAGATTTAAAGAAATGGAATCATATATTTTTCTTTTTAAAATCTACCTTGTTTTCATAATGTTTTCAGGTTTCACCTAATTTGTAACATATATGAGAATGTCATTTCTTTTGTGCTTACATCATATTGTTTTGTATGGATATATATCACATTTTGTTTATCCATCCATCTGTTGAACACTTGGCTCATTTCTACCTTTTCGTTGGCTAATTGGAGTAATTCTGCTATAAACACTGACATTCAAGTGTCTATGGGAATCCTTGTTTTCAGTTCTTGTAAGCTTATACCCAAGAGAGGAATTTTTGGATCATATGATAATTTTATGTTTAAAATCTATATTTTTGAGGAACCACCAATCTGTGTGGCAGTTTAAATACAGCAGAATTCATTCTATTCTCTGACATGTGAGTGTCAGCAGGAAAAGCATGGAACCCCAATCCTAGCCGTTGTGGTAGTAGCCCCTCTATGCTGGGCATTTCATGGTGAAGCAGAGGTCAGAAGTTCATAGTTTAACTCCAGTTTTATTTTTCTGTCATACTTATCCAAGGCTTATTGAAACAGGTTATGTACTTCATTGTTATAATTGTGTATATGTCTGAAGAAATAGGAATATAAGTAAAGGAAAGAAACCAACTTTATTTTCTCTATGTATTTTTTGTTTTATTTGTTTTTTGTTTTTTACTTTCTATGTTCTAATCATTAACTAATGCTACATATCACATAATTTTTATTTTTGTTGGTTTTAAATTTTCATTGGACTGGTATAACTAGTGAAATTATAAATTAATTGTAATTGCAAAAATAATTCTGGATTTTGGCCTTGTTATTTTTAAACTTTTTTTTTTTTATTTCCCCCCACACTTTTTTTTTTCTTGGTGTCAGTTGTGGTGAAGTTTTTATTGTATAATTCCAGGGTTCCAATGCCTAAGTAGTTCCTAATGTCACCTTAAATAAGACCATATGAGATGGGGGATGTGGATATCTTTAGAATATGTAATCTCTCACATTTTTTATGTAATTTTAGATAAATCCTTTGCTATAGGAATATTTTTGTCATATTTACAACATTTAAGTATTGGTACTTTTTATAGTTTGCATACCTATTGAATAAATTTCTAGAAAAAGGAAAGATCAAAAGGTACATGCCTTTAAATTGCTAAGAGATATCACATCTTTTCACCATTAATAATAATACCTTTATGTGTATTGAGCCTTTTTTCTAGCATATGTATTGTAAATATCTTTACCTTTTGGTTTGTGTCCTCTGTGTGTGCATCTCTATGTGTATTTGTACACATATACATGTATTTACACTTATACCTATGTCCATATTTAGCTGAAATGCTATAAATGGTCATAGGCTTGTCCTGAAAATAGAAACATAAAAATGCTTGCCAAATATTGAAATATTTGTATATATTGTTCATTTTTTGATACTTTATCTCTTTGCATTGCTACTCTTAATTCATATGCACATATTTCATCCATGAAAATGGAAATGGAAATTTTTTCATTTATGTAAAATTGATAGGCTATTCACTACTTTTAACCATTTCAAATTATAGAAAAAAAATTTTTTTAGAAAAGGCCCTGTGTGCTGTCATTCATGCTTGTAATCCCAGTGTCTCAGAAGACTGAGGCAGGAGGATGGCAAGTTGGGGTCAGCCTGAGCAATTTAGTGAGACTCTTTAACATAAAAACTAAAAAGGGCTGTGGATGTGTCTCAGTGGAAGGGATTGCCTGGCATGTGTAGGATCCTGGGATCAACTCCTAATAATGAAAAAAAAATTATTTTTAAATATATTCTATTTGGTGAATTGGATATTTCCATTTAACACATTTTTAGACTATAATGTAACTGTAGAAGTCATGAAAGAAGACGCAGTTCCATTAGAATAAATATCATTAGTTAAATGATTAATAAAATAGAATCAAGAGAATATTATTCATTTTATTATAGAAATGTTTTGAAAGGAAGTTTGAATAATATTTTTATCAAATTAAAGAAATTGAGAATGTATGTATAAATTGTCATAACATGTGATAGTATAACTAAACATTACTGCACCATACTTTCCACAGACATTTTATTATAACAATACCACAGAGTAATCTGTGCTTATACTGATGAATAACCTGGGCCAGAGATGATTTATAAACTAATTTTTCCTTTAAAATGCATAATGTTCATTAGATTGCACATTTATTCAATCTTCTGTCTTAACTGCTAACATGGCACTAACTAATTGAAACTTTTTGTTAATGACTTTCTGTAGGGCTATCATAATAGTTATGGCTTTATAAAGCTATGGAATTATGCAGTGACAATTTCAAATACTCTTAACTTTAGATGTTTATTATATTTAATATTTATATTGAGAATCTTAAAAAAAAAAGTTAAAATCTCCAAACACTTTCATTTCATGTTTGACTTTAAGAAGAGTAGTCATGGGGCTGGGGTTGTGTCTCAGTGGTAGAATACTTCCCTAGCATGTGTGAGGCACTGGGTTCAATTCTCAGCACCTCATATAAATAAATAAAATAAAGGTCCATTTACAACTAAAAAATATTTTTTAAAAAAGAGTACTTATAAACAGTAGTCTTACATTATCTGCAATTGCATGAAAATTCAGTTTTTTATCTAAACTTTTTTTAAAACTTTTTTATTTAGTTGTAGGTGAACGCAATACCTTTATTTTATTTATTTTATTTTTATGTGGTACTGAGGATCGAACTCAGTACCTCACATGTGCTAGGCATGTGCTCTATCACTGAACTACAACTTTATCTAAACTTTTGATTACTGATGCAAGCTCAGGATTTCATAGTTGTTTATATTCTATTTGTTTGCTACACACTTTTAACATCTGTGCATCGGCATGCATACACATACATGCACATACACTCTTGTCTCCCAAAAGGATAAAATCTTTTAGATTTAGAACTATTGGTATGTTAATATAAAACTTTTAAATTATATTTGAAATTTAATTAATGATGAAAATATATTTAACATTATAATAATTTAGAGAAGTGATATTGAAAATCTGGTTTCAACCTCAATATTGTTTGCATTATGTGCAATTATTATCAAGATTCTAGATCTACAGGTGTTTCACTTCCAGCTTAAACTTTTTATTTTAGAATAGATGACTGTGTTTTGGATCTAGTATGTCTTCTATGGTGACAAGTTCCTCATTAGGCTCAGTTTTTTAAAATGCAGTTAAAGAAAGAAGATGTTTATTTTCACGTTGAAAATGCCTTAAGAGAAAACATTTCTTCAAATGGTCCAACTGTTGAATGCAAGTTAAATAAACCAAAAAAGGGAAGCTTGTTTTTCTTATTTTCTAGCTATAAAGTAGCTGAAAAAATGACTCAAGGCGTTGTCTTGAATAAGAACATTTTTAATTTTTGTTTATATATCAATGAAGTATTTTGATAAACTGAATATTTTAATAAAATCATAGTTTAATCTTATTTATGAATAATATCCATTGAATACCTTTACACACTTACACCCATACATAGGTGTGTGCCTATGTGTGTGTACCTGCAGGTATGTGTTTGTGTATATATGTGTGTGTGTATAAAATAACTTCATAATATAATTTACTGAGAACACTTTTGGCTCTAACAGAAACAGAATTTTATTCTTGGATCTGGCTTTGTATGTAACACCAAGTACGTCATTTTTCTTCCATATGTACCTCATTTACTGCAGTGTTTCTGTTACAATTCAGACTTCATGTGGTAAGTAGTATCTGTAGCCTGGAAGAACAGTTAGCAAGTACACTAATTGCACTTTTGAGGAATGGTCTATTCTCCAGGATTACTATTTATTGATTTAATTGTTGCCTGCTGCTTAATCAGAAGTTTTTACCCACATGGAACTATTTGATAAGCTTGGCATAAAATGCAAGATCTGTGAAATGTAAACAATGTTCATTATATGAGGACCTATAATCAAGACAGACTTGGAGACTTTTGAAAAAACTGCAGCTGCATAAGAAGTAGTTTTGTTTGATCTTTCTTTGCATTGGACATTGAAAAATATTATCGTGACTGTAGCATCCACATGCTAATATTTATGATGATAGTTCATCTCTTTTTCTTCCTTTTGCTATCCTTCCACCTCCTAACCTTTCTACTGTTTTACTTATTTCCATTTCCTTCATTGTCATCTTATTCTGACTCCGTATTTTCCTTGCTGAATATCTTTCTTCTTATTTTTTCTGATTTTCTTAATTTCAACTTTCTTTTTTTGGACTAATGTAATTCAGACCTTACCAAGTGTACTGTCGAAGCAGCTGGAAATAATCTCCTTGCTTTTGCATTCCTTGGGCACCACAGTTTGGGAAATATGGATTCTATGCTTTTGTAAGGCATGTTCTGTTCAGAATATTCCTGAAGTCTTGCAGCCATTCCTTTTTTATTCTGTTTGCAGCAGATGATAGTTCCTTCCAAGAAATTATAAGTTTCAATAAATTTTTGCTTCTAAAACTTAAAATTTATATAATATTAACAAATTTAAATAATGTTTAAACCTACTGCAGTGAAGTTGTCTGTTGGAAAATAGTTAAATTTAATGACTAAGTCCATCAAGAACCCCTATCCATCCCAGATAGTCCTTAGAGAACTCATTGAATCCAGTGAGAAAAGTGTTGAATTTCATGAGATGAGATGAAATGATATTTTTTATTCAGTACAAAGAATTAGAATTCATGTATCCATTTACTTTTTTATATTTCTGAGATTAGGAGATTGAAGTTTTAAACGGGTGTGATATTACTATTTCTCAAACACTTGCACAGTAGAAATCATTAAAATTAAAATAATTTATGCCTAACATAACAAGTTGAAATGTTGTCTCATGTTAAATAGCTAGTTGCTTTTTTTCATCTTCAATATTACAACCATCATAGTTCTCTTGGATTTTCTGACTTTTTAGAGTATGAGGTGCTATACTATATGTGTGTGAGAGTGCATTTTGTATTTAATTTTAATTACTAATTGTGTAAATTAAAATGTGTTTGAGAATGTGTTACTTCATTGATATCTTTTAATAGGTCTGTAGACAATAATAGAGTGTTAAAAACCTAGGACTCAAAATCTATTGGGAGAAAGATGGAGATTGTGATATTAGATAAACCTATGACTTCAGTATTACTTAATATTATTATGTATTTAATGTTGGGGTAGAGTTGCTTGTTTTTTCATTGTTATTTCATGTATTTTATTCAAAGTGGGATCTGAAAAAAATAGTTAAGAAAAGCATCAAATATTTTTAGAATCAACATTATTTTTTACTTTTCCTTTTCTTTTTCTATTGATCTTGCCTTCATGTTTCTGTATTCCATTTCCTCAAACATTTCTCCTTGTGTATAGTTATGCACAGACTCACAGTGTATTTGTCCATTTCTTGCAGTCAATCAAGCAGCAAAGGAAGACACAGTGGTTTTGAAGATTGGTTCTGTTGCCATGGCTCCCCAGGCTGACAATCCCCTTGGCCGATCTGTCCTCAGGAAAGATATTTACCAGTAAGTTTATTCTGCAACAGTTTCTGCAAAGTTCAGTGATCAATAAAACTTGCTAAGTGTGGCCTGCCTGTAGAAATACTTTTCATTCAGGATCTTTTGATATTTAAAACCAGGTTTTTCTGATTTTCTTCAGTTGTGGGTTTTTAAATTCATTCAGACAAATCAAGTATTTATGTGAAGTGTTGATGAATAACAGAATGTAAGTACCAAGTCATCATAAAGCTAAAGAAGTATAGCTTGGAAAATTCTAGCAGACTTCAAATTTGACCAAATCTCTATTCACATAAGAAAACGACATCCTCTCTAGAACCACTGCATCCTACTGTAGTCAAATTGTATCAAAGTGTAACATTTTCCTAACTTAAATGTAAGCTATTATTTGAAATGTAGTTCTGTGTATGTCATATGGATCAAAGCTGTACAGTAAAGAAAACTTCTAAGGAGAAATTTCACAGTAAACTCTGTGAAAATGCCATGCTCTGGACTTTGTCAATGAGAATTTGCAAACCACACCAAGCATATATAGACAACTAAACTGGTGAACATATGTAATCAACATGATAAAAATAATATATGATTCATACTGAAGTTGGCACTGCTGCAGACATAAACAGTTACACATAATACCAAGTGAGAAAAGTCACAGAAATACAGATGAACAAGTATCTTATTCTTCCTGCTGGTCTGTTTTTCAGATGTTGGGTCTGACTTTTTAAAAATGTAAATTCCTACTGTTCTCCAGTAAATGTTCCTAGGAAAAGATTCTAATTTTGTTAATACATTTACCACCCACATGGTAACATTCAGTTTTACTTTAAAAGAAGAATTGTATTTCTAAAGTTTCTCTTGATATCGGAGTTGAATATTTCCTTTGACTTTTATGTCTTTTCCTTGTGCTATTTTTTTCTTCATAGCTTATAGTATTCATGTCTTAAATGAGTTTTTATATAGTTATGCTTATATAAAATCTAAGTATGTCAGAACTGAAGGAAACCTTAGGAATTATCTGATCCATCTTCATTAGTATTTTATAGATTAGGAAACTGTGTATCCAAAAAATTTGTCTCTAGTTAACTGGTGATAGAGCCAAGTTTTATAACTATTGTTAACTCCTTTAGAGTTGAAGGAGAGAATTATAGTAGAACATAAATTCGGGGTGCAAATTCTTTAATCGTCTAAGGTTTAGAAATTCTGTCCAGTGGTTTTTTCGGGTTTTTTTTGTTTGTTTGTTTGTTCGTTTGTTTGTTTCACACTTCAGGCAGGAATAAATTGAGCTCAGAGTCCAGCTTTACTTTTCAGGTTTTTTTTTTTATTGTTGTTTTGTTTTGTTTTTGTTCCAGGGGTGCTTAACCACATTCCAGCCCTTTTTTGATGTTTGTGACAGAGTCTCATTAAGTTGCCTAGGGCCTTGCTAAGTTGCTGATGCTGGCTTTGAACTTGAGATCCTCCTGCTTCAGCCTCCCTAGCCACTGAGATTACAGATGTGTACCACCACACCCAGCCAGCTCTACTTTTTATGGAAGAAATGTGTTTTTTATTAAAAAATCCCATTACTATTAACAAAGTGAAACACTTTCAAGCTCTCACATGACTTTTTATCCTTACTTGTTTGAAATTCTGTTTGTATTTTGTGAGATGATTCCTTTACATTTTCTTTCTGTCTCTCTGACACTTCTTTTCTATTTTCCTACTGGTCTTCCTAAACAGTCCGTTTAATGTTAATGTCTCTCAGAACTTCCATTTATCCCATCTTGCCCATTTCTTCTTGGATGAGTCCTTCTGCTCTCCTGGCTGAGAAGAAATTGAATTCTAAACATGTATACTAACTCTGAAATGCTGCTGTAGTCCCTAGTTAGAATGTCAAACATAAAATTCTGGGTATTGTATGCCATACTCAATAGTTTTCCCTTGAAAGTTCACATTCCAAAGTCTTTTTCTAAATAACTAATCTTTAGCCCAGTGTGGTAGTACATGCCTATAATGGGAGGCTGAGCCAGGAGGATCTCAAGTTCAAAGCCAGACTCAGCAATATCAAGGCACTAAGCAACTCAGGGAAACCCTATCTCTAAAGAAGAGCCAAAATAGGGCTAGGGTGCTTGAGTGCCCCCCCTAAAAAAATAATAACTAAAGTATAGAAAGTATTCACATAGGAGTTCATGAAAACATTTCAAGATCTCATTGAAATACTGTAGCAACATGAAAGGAGGGTTAGAGCATGATGCCACAAACCTATAATCCTTGTGACTTGGATTAAGACAGGAGAATCGCAAGGTCGAGGACAGTTTCAACCACTTAGCAGGACTCTGTCTCAAAATTTAAAAAAAAAAAAAAGTGGTGTGAGGATGTAGCTTAGTTGTAAAGTCCTCCTAGGTTCAATTCCTAGTATAAAAAAAAAGCAAAACTAGAAACCTCAGTGGAATGAAGTAATCAGAGTAGAAGTATCTTGGATTATACAGGTGTGCAAACACCAAAAGACCTGCATCCTAAGACTGCTCTTATGGTATTTATTAACAATGAAATCGTGATAAACCGATGTAAAAGTCTATATATTGTATGAAGTATTTAGAATGGACAGATCCATGAATACAGAAAGTAGATAAATTTGGAGGACTAGACACTTCTTTAAACTATGACAAAGTGACAGTAATCAAGGTACATGATACTGGCATAAGGATAGACATTTAGATCAGTGAATTTATTTAATTGGGAGATTAGAAATAAACCATCACATTAATTTTTTTGTGTGTTTTATAAAGGTACCAAGATAATTCACTGGTGAACAATATTCATTTCAATTAATTGTTCCTATAGTACTGAATATCACTTTTATGGAAGAAATGTGTTTTATATTAAAACACCTTCTCCATCATAACTAGAAATTAATTCAAGCATTAGAGATCTTTGATCATATCCAGAAATTAACTTAGGCATTAGATGTAAGAGCCATCATCCTAATGCTTATAGAACAACTAGGTGTAAATGTTTGTTATCTTGATTAGAGAATGGCTTCTTAAACATGACATCCAAAGCAGAAGTCACAAAGGAAAAACTAAAGAAGACTTTATCAAAATTCCAAACTTTTATGTGGCTTTTCCATTTTCACTGTCAAGAAAGTAAAAATGTAAAGAATGGGTGAAAATATTTACAAATAATATATCTGTTAAGAGGCTCCTGTCATAATGAACTCTTAAAACTCACTGATTAAAAAAGAAACCAATTTTAAAATGGTCAAAGCATTTGAATAGATGTAGATGAAAATGTAAATATGACTAATAAGCACATATTGAGATGTTCAACACTACTAGTCATTAGAGGAAATGCCAAATCAAAACCACAACAGTCAGGTTGGCAGTAATCAAAAAGACAACAAATGTGGAGAAGTTAAAACTATAGGGGATATAAGAAAAACCCAAACTGTTTTTTTTCTACCTTCACACATTCAGGATTATACCCAATACAACATTTCTCTCTCTCTCTCTCTCTCTCTCTCTCTCTCTCTCTCTCTCTCTCTCTCTCTCTCTCTCTCTCGGGATTGAACTCAGAGACACTCAACCACTGAACCACATCCCCAGCCCTATTTTGTATTTTATTTAGACACAGTCTCACTGAATTGCTAAGCACCTCACCATTGCTGAGGCTGGCTTTGAACTTGAGATCCTCCTGGCTCAGCCTCCCAAGCCACTGGGATTATAGATGTATGCTACCACGCCCATTTTCAATGCAACATTTATGGCATTAGGTTCCTGTGATATTATGAAAAATATCTTTGGTAATTGTCCCCATTTCCTGATCCATAGCTCCTAAAACCCTTGAAATCTCCAGAGTGATAAAATTACCTTTTGAATATTAGCAAGATGACTAGTGGCTGGGGAACAACTGGTCACAAGAAAGACCAGGGTATAATCAAGAGTTGAGATTTTAATTCTCCCTCCTCTGCCAGGGAGAGGAGAAGGGCTGAAAGTTGACATCAATGACCATTGTTGTAATCAATTATGTTTATGTAATGAAGCCTCAGTAAAATCCTCAAAAGAAAGAGTTTGGGTGAGCTTTTGGATTTCTGAGCACAAGAGTACCTGGAGAGTGGTGATATACCTATACAAGCCCTTCCAACATACTTTTCCCTATGCATCTCTTCCATCTGGCTGTTATCCTTATCCTTTGTGATAATCCCTTATAATAAACAGGTATTTCTCTCAGTTCTATGAGCAGCTTTAGTAAATTAATAAAACCTGAGGAGAACAGGATATAGCAACCCTGGTTTATAGGCATTACATAAGAAGCACAGATCATAACCTGAAGCTTTTCAATTGGAATCTAAAAAGAAGAGGAACAGTCTTGTGTGATTAATGCTAACCTGTGGGATCTGATGTTATCGCCAGGGAGATACTTTCAGAATTGAGTTAAATTATGCCATAACATGACTTAACCTTGGAATCATTGTGCAAAGTGAAAAATGATTTAAAAAACCACTTAGAGTCCATTTAGATAAAATGTCCAGAGTAAATAAATCCATAGAAATTGAAAGTAGGATCGCACTTTCTAGAAGTTGAAAGGGAGAGGAGAGTGACTACTAATGGGCATCAGATTTCTTTTGGGGGTGAGGAAGATGTTCTGGAATTAGATATTAGTAATATAATGAGCTGTACATAGCAAGAGCACAGTGAGAATATAAAAAATCCACCTTAAATGGTTCAATTTTGTGGAATATCAGTTATATCTCAATAAAGCTCATTTTAGAAAAATGTCATAGATTGATATCATCAAGTGGTCCAATGGCATTAATTGCAGAGAGGGAATTTTGCTTCCTAGACAGGTGAAAATGGAGTGTTCTTTTCAACTCTCCTAGTATTTGACTCTGTGTATAGGTAGAGGGATTCTGTTGCGGAAGGAGAAACCAGGGGGCATTTATCAATCATGTGGGCAAGAGTAACAAATTTGCATCTTGAAGAGGTTCAGACATACAACTAGTCCTTCACAGTATATTTTCTGAGAGGGAGTGC